TCCCCACTTTATATGTGAGGAAACTGAGCCTCAGGGAGGTTGAGTGACTTGCCTAAAGTCACACAGCAAGTCAGTGCGTACTAATGGAATCTAGACAGGTCCGTCCCATCCTGAAGGCTGAACCTCAGCCCCTCATCCTGCGGCCTCCACAGCTCCCCCAAGGACCGGCAGAGCTCTCCAGAGTGTTTGGGTTAGAAGGCTCTTGCACTCCCGCCATCTCTCTTAACTCTCACAGTAAAATGAGTCCCAGAGAGGCTGAGTGGCTAGAGGCATGCTGTCTTCGGCCCTGTCCCATCCTCTCCTTAGCTCGGCTCTGTGGCAGAGGGGGGCTGCCAGGCAGGGGGAAGGCGGGCTGAGGCCACTGGCGGTCTGCCCTTGCTTCTGTGCCCTGGCTGAGAGAATGGGAGAGCATTTTGCCCAAAAGGGGGCAGCAGCTCTCTAAAAGAGGAGGAGGACACAGAAGAGTGCTTTGTTCCCTTCAGACGGTCCAGGAGCCAGGGCTGCCATCAGACTCCTTCCCGGTGGTAGCCACCGGGGCTGCCATCAGACTCCTTCCCGGGGGTAGTCGCCAGGGCTGCCATCAGACTCCTTCCCGGGGGTAGTCGCCGGGGCTACCATCAGACTCCTTCCCGGGGGTAGTCGCCGGGGCTGCCATGAGACTCGTTCCCGGTGGTAGCCGTGTTCTCAGGGAGGAGCCAGGTAGGAGCCAGGGCTCAGGCAGATGCCGCCTGGAGCCCTGCTGTCAATTTGCTGCCTTCTTCGAAGCCAGGCCCCAGCTCCCAGGAGAAGCACGGCAGCCACACTGAGCCTCCAGGCTTTGATAGCAATGGGGGCAGTTGCATGACCCCTATTTAAACTCCATGAGCCAAAGGATAGTCTGTTTTGGAAGTGACCTCCAGGCCAGCTCCAGCCTGCCCTCCCCTTGTATATTCTGCCAACATCCAGGAGATAAAAGGGGGGGATCTCTCAGTGGCAGAACATGAAGCTCTTCAAAGAACACTTTCAATCAAAAATGGGGAGGAGAGAGGTCTTTCTCTCAGAGGAAATGTATTTATATGCCCCTGTGTGCGCGTGTGTGCGCACAGACACACAGACACACAGACACACACACATCCCAAGACCAGGAACATCGTAATGCATACAGAACTTTCCGCTCCTCTTTTATCAGCCCTCCTTCTGTTCCCCCTGGCTCTGGGGGATACCTACCTTTTTTGGTTTCCCACCCCGTGGAGTTACACTCCCAGACCTGCTGTCCAGATGGGGGTGTCCCTTCCTGACCTTTCTGGATTTCTTTCCCTAAAATAAAATGTCCCCGCCCGGGGTCCCTGTCGGCTGCTGGTCTTTGCTGACCAGTCTGCGAGTTTCTTCCTCAAAGCTCCTTCTCCTCGTCTGTTCCAGAACATTCGATTCTGCGGACCACCATCATCTTCTTGAGCAAAACAGGGGCCCGCGGAAGTAAGCTCTACCCGTTTGAGGCAAGTGAAATGAAAGTGTGGGGTTTGGGAGCTGGAGAAGACAGTTTAGAGGGCGTGTGGTGGGGCCTTTTCATCTGATGGGATGAAACTTCACCCCAGAAAGTGGAGTAACTCGCCCACGGTCACCGTGAGCCGTGGCCTGGCTGCAACTAGCGCCACGTCTTCTCATGTCCTGTCTACAGCTCTTTCTGCCCGAGAGGCGGCCCTCCTGCCCCGAGTGGCTAGAGATGCAAAAGGGCTGGGCTGGACGGGCAGCCTGCCCTCCCCTCCCTCCTTCCCCTACGCCGATGGTTGCTGGCATTGTACACTCCCAGCCCCCTTGGCTTGTTAGTCTGGTTTCATGGCATATTATCTCCTCATCTAAGACTGCTTTATAGCATAATGTCTTTTTAACTAAGGTGAAATAAAATGAACGCGCGTCTTTTGGAATAACCGGATCCCCAGAGGTTTTCACTAAATTTCGGGGGCGTGTTGAAGCCAAGGTAGATAATTACTATTCTCTACTGAGTTGATTAAATAAAAACAAAACAAAACAAAACAAAAAACACCACCATGAAATCTCCATCATTTCTTTTAGCTTGCCACGGCTTTTTTCCATCCCACTCCTTCCCTGCCTCCCCTGCCTGTAACTTACTCCTGACGGGGGGGCGGGGGGCAGCAAAGGGAAGAGGGACCGACCGGTAGCCATGAATCAGCAGTGTCCACATGAGGCGGTTGTTCTGTTTGGCCCAGTTTGGGAAGGGTCTCTCTGTGATTAGACAGAGATGCCCTGTCCAAGCCTGGGGCACACACTCTCCCTGGGTATGTGGTCATTCTGCATGCACCCGGGAAAGGCTTTACGGCTTTACCATGACATCATGACAGCTTTTATAAACTTGTGAACCGATTTCCAAGTTCCAACACAACATTTGCCCTTTTGGGATGTGTGGGTGGCTCAGTCGGTTAAGTGTCTGTCTTCGGCTCAGGTCATGATCCCGGGGTCCTGGAATCGAGTCCCGCATCGGGCTCCTTGCTCAGTGGGGAGCTTGCTTCTCCCTGTTCCTGCATCTCTCCCTGCTCCTGCTCCTACTCTCTCTGACGAATAAATAAATAAAATCTTTAAAAACAAAAACAAAATTTGCCCTTTTGGGGCAAAAGCTGTAGGTGAGGTAAAGAAACTGTGGGTAGAGTTGTTGAGTTCAGTTAATTTGGGGGCCAGGATCTGTGTTTTTAAATAACCAGAGAAAGGACTAAAAGCTGTGTTTATCTTTGCCCACTTTATCCGTTTTGGTTTTCCTCCTCTTTTCTTCAATTCTTTCCGTCCAACCCAACTGACTCTCATCTCCTCCTCCCAAGGCCCATGCAGGGCTTGGCTGCCGACTAGCTAGAAACCCGCCTGTGTGGGACCCGGCGCTGCACCTGCTGGGTCTTTGTGCTGGGTTGATTATCTGTTGGTCTACACCTGTGCTCTCAAGCGGGCGGAACTGCCGTCAGTGCCACCGTCACAGAGGGGCCGAGGATCTGAAAGACCCAACCAGCCCTCCAAAGAGCCCCCAAATGAAAGCATTAACAATCTTCTAATCAAACTTCGTTTTTTAATCTCAAGGGTTGATTGACTTGATAGCAGTAATTAGCACTCTGTTGGAGAAATACAGAAAGAGCACAATGAAGCATTCACATTTTTCATTTTATATTAAAAAATCTCTTACATTCACACCCTAGTTTCTTTTCTTGGCACCTGGCCTGCCTTTATAAGGCCCTGAGTTCGTTAACCTCTGCCAGATTACATGGCTGCTCCAGCAGACGGAACGTGGTTAGGGAGTGGAGGTGCAAGGTTGAAATGTGGGAGAGACTGACCTTTGCCAAGAGATTTATCCTTCTTGTACGCAAATCTCAAATTCCCTTGTGTGTGGCATGAGGGCCAGCGTGTCTCTTTCTCTATTTTCTTTGCAGTGATTTAGGAAGAATCGTGCACTTGTGTGCGTATGTGCATGCGCTCATTCAGAGAGGACGCCTGGCCTGTTCTCAGATTGCTGGGGACTCCACTTGTCCTCCTTTCTGTCTTCCTCTCTTCCATCAGCTGCTCCCCTGGAATTAGAAGAAGGAGTTAAGCTGACGTGGAAACCAGTGGAGGCCAGTCTGAGATACATGCCTTGGTTATAAAACATGGCTCTTTGGGGTGCGTGGGTGGCTCAGTGGGTTTAGCCTCTGCCTTTGGCTCAGGTCATGATCCCAGGGTCCTGGGATTGAGCCCCACATCGGGATCTCTGCTCAGCAGGGAGTCTGCTTCCCCCCAACCCCCGCCTGCCTCTCTGCCTACTTATGATCTCTCTCTGTCAAATAAATAAATAAAATCTTTAAAAAAAAATGGTTCTTCCATATTAGTGGATGTCAGAATCAGCTGCGCAGCTTGGTACCAATACAGATGCCTGTGTCCTACCTGCTGTCTGATCCAGGGGGCCCGGGGTGTGACTCAGGAATTCGCATTTTAGTCAGCCTCCCACATGATTCTGATACAGGTGGTCAGAGACGAGATGTTGAGAATCCCTGTTAGAGAATCTCTGGGCAGGGTCCTGGCACGGTCTTCACCTCACATCCTTAGTTTAAGGACAAGGCCAAGGATGTCTAGGGACTGGCCTAGGTTAGGGAGTTGGTGAGGGACCCAAACGGAACGCTGGTTCTGGGCTTTTCCCCTTTGCACCATGCACAGGGAAGCAGACCAAGAGGAAGTGAGTTTGCTTTGCCAGGGTATGGGTTTAAATAAGGGACGAGGACGAACTCTCTGGCAAAGAGGAACATTGAGGAAGCCGATAGTGTTGAATTCAGACTCTCATCAGATATGGGCATCTGTGGTGTCCTGTGAGGGCCGAGAGCACGGAAGGAAATGTCTTCAGAACAAATTCTGGTGACTTTTACATGGAAGGCCACAGAACCTTCTTTTACTTCTTTGGTGCCTGAACTGTAACCTCAGCAGCAACGTAAGTGTCCAGGGCACCAGGAGGCCCGAGGTCCAGTCCCAGCTCTGACAAGGACGAGCTCTGTGTGGTGGGGCTACCCACTCGGTTCCTTGGTGGTGTTAGCTTGTCTCTCTCTTCTGTGGTTGCATCTGTTTTCTCGCACCCCCAAGTCCCCCCCACTGAGGTTCCTCTTCAGCCTCGCACCTCCATCAAGTTCTGTGGACTGAGCAAATTAAGAAGTTGAATTTTAAAACGACTTCCTGTCGAGAATCCAGCAGCCTCTGTGCCAGTTCTCCCTCTCCGTGGGAATTTTGAGATGGTCCCTGAACAGCCCTCTGCTGTTTGTACTTACTGTTATGTCTAGAGGCGTCTGGCCACAAGTGTGCCCGAGTTCCAGCTTCAGCACCGTGTCCTCTCGTGAATGATTGTTCGGGTCTGAGATGGCTCAGGGCTACCCAGAGTCCCTCCCCACACTGAGAAGCCAGACCAGAGTGACATCTCCCCAGTAGGGACAGCCTCTGGCCACAAGTCCCTGTTCCTGCATCTCACCTGGGCCGCCCCACTGATGGGATCTGTCTGTCCCTTTCAGAAAGCGGACCTGGCCGTGGCGGGCCTCACCATTACTGCGGAGCGGGAGAAGGTGATTGATTTCTCCAAGCCATTCATGACTCTGGGAATTAGCATTCTTTACCGAGTTCATATGGTAAGAGACTTATTTTATAAGCATTTATGTCATTAAAGTTATTTGCATGCAAACACTGAGTTATATGGTAATAATGAATGACTCACAGAAATATTTAGATTTCAAGACTTAAATGCAAATGAACTGGGCTATTTTTTCCCGCATCAGCTGTGCGGTCTTGCAAACAGGAAGAATGGAAAAGTCACACTTGTGGGCTTTCCAGTAAAAATTGCTTCTGCCTCACTGACTAGGGATGGCTGAGAGGGAGCGCTTAACCCTGGGTGTGTGGTGTGTCGGTGAGTGGACCCGTTGGTCACTCTGCTTCCTCCTAGGGACGGGGTCTCCAGTCCAGATAAGTCATCCCAGCATTTTCAAGGACTTTGCTGATTCCCAGGTGCATCTCTTTTCACTCTGAGCATTATCTAGTGAGGGAATGCAGACTCCATCCTCTCCGGGTTAGCCATATTAGTGAATAAATAATGTCATTTATATCTGGCCTGTCCCCTTTTTGGCATCCATCAAAAAAGAGAGAGAGCGAGAGAAAGACTTCTCTGCTCAAGTTGCCTAGAGTGAGTAGAGTAAGGGTCTAAATGAATTTGGGAAGCCACACCAATGGGTGTGAGGCCAGACCTGATGGAGGACACTGGCCAGTGGGGGTGGTACAGGAGAGTAACAGGGCTGAGCCTCATCCACAAAGGGAATAGTAGTGATGTTGCCAGGACACAGTTGCCTGAACCAGAAGAGCCTCCTTCTCATCCTTTTATCCAAACTGGCTCTGAATGCACAGCTATTATACGGATTCCCCAATGCTCAAGTCATTCTCGGTGTCCAAAGTCACGCTAACCTAGAATATTGCAGGGTGTTACCCGGCGCCACAAGGCTGCCCCCAGCAGGGAAGGGATCAAGCACTCATCCTACGCGCCTGCTGAAGAACAGACCCTCTAGCTTCTGACCCCTTCCTTGGCCCCACCTCCCAGCCCTGGAGAAAGAGGATTGTCTGTATTCGCAGTCCCAGCCTGGGTTCACGTAGCCAGGGCTGCTAGGGCATCGGGAACTGCAGCCCATTTCTGTAAGAGGGAAGGTTCCCTTGTCACAGAGCCCATTGGAGCAGCTCCGAGGAGCGCTATCCAGTGCTGGACCTCAGCATCCATCATGATCGCTGCCTGGCTTAGAAAAGGAGGTCACGGCGTTTAGAAGAAGAGGCAGTATTGAATTCCCAAGCTCCCCAGGCTAAGACAGAAAGCAGTGTGAGGATTTGGGCACTGTTGGCGCTGTCATTGATGTGGCTGTCTTGTGAATTAAGGGCGAGAGTGATGCCCCCCGCCTCTTTTCCACAATGATGAAAGCTCCCGTTCATTGAGCAGCTCCTACATCCCAGACGCTCTTTCCAGCCTCTGCAAGGATCTTGACTGTGGTTATGGGTTGACTTGTGTCCCCTCAAAAGACATAGTGAAGTCCTAAGCCCCAGGACCTGTGAAGGTGACCTTATTTGCAAATAGGGTCTTTGCAGATCTAATCAAGTTAAGATGATGTCATACTGGATTTGAGCGGGCCCTTGGCCAAGGAGGGGTGTCTTTGTAAAAAGAGGAAAATGTGGACCCGGGGGAGAAGAGCGTGTGAATTTGGAGACAGAGTAGCATGATGTCTCTATAAGCCAAGGAACAACAAGGATTGCCAGCAACCACCAGAAGCTAGAGGTGACAAGCAGGCATCCTCCCCTAGAGCCTTCAGAGGGAGCACGGCCCTGCTGATGCCTCTATCTTGAACTGCTCACCCCTGAACTATGAGACTATACGTTTCTATTGTTTTAAGTCACCTAGCTTGTGGTACTTTCTTCTAGTGGTCCTAGGACACCAGTACACTCGTGATGTTCTTGTAAGTGTAAGGGCAGAGATCGCACCCAGAAATAGTGTGCCTCGAGTCTGTGCTGTCTCTGGGATACCAGGCGGCCCCCCTCATTCATGTGATCTTTGAGTAACTTGTCCTGGAAGGCTTTCTTGTGTACCTTTTCTCATCTGGTCCTTAGGACTGTTGTTTGAGAAGAGGGAAGGTATTAGATTTCCAACTAGACAGTAAGGAAACTAAAGTCACACTTGGAACTGACACATGGCAGGGCCTGGAAGTCAGGTGTTCTAACTCTTGAGACAAGGGTTCTTGTCCTCCTTATACCTGTCCGTAGTCCCTGGGTGATTTTCCAGCTAGCACTGTGTCTTGAACCCGCCTCACCCCATTCCTGTAACTGAGCCCTGAGGCAGCATCCCAAAGTAGTGGGGGAACATAGGACCTTTCTCCAAATCATATTACTATGGCCAAGCTGTACAACTAGGCTCTGGCCTTGATATCTTGATTAATGCCAAGGATACTAGAGCCCCACTCACAACCCTATGGACCTGGAGGAACCATGTGGGTAAGGGCACCTGATCCCTGGTGTTTCTACTCAGTGCCTGGGGACGTCCTCTGCTAGGCTACCCTCACCACCGGGCACACCACTGCCTGGAATATCAACTCCAGCCAGAAACAAATTCCCACTCACCAGTCCTCTGGACATCTTTAATTGGATTGTTGGCCAGATATTACCCACTACCACAAACCTATGATTTTATTAGTTCTTGGAACATGAAGTTTTACACATCAGCTTCCCTAAGCTATGGTGCCCAGAGGTTTGATCAATCACTAGCTTAGATATTCCATGAGAATATTCTGTAGATGGGATTAACAACTGTGTTCAGTTGACTTTAAGTAAAGGAAGTTATCCTTGATAATGTCGGTGGGCCTCATCTAACCAGTGGAAGGCCTTAGGCACAAAAACAGGTTTCCTGGAGCAGAAAAAATTCTGCCTCAAGGCTATCCCTTAGGAATCCTGCCCGAGTTTCCAGCAGGTGCTATAGATTTTGGCCTTAACTGCTCCCACAATGGTGAGAGCCAATTCCTTAAAGTAAATCTCTTTACACACACACACACACACACACACACACATATATATATCTCCTACTGATTCTGTCTCTCTGGAGAACCCAAAGTCATACGTTCCCCTTTCTGGTCAGGAGACCTCCCCACTTCCAGCCTCTACACTGAGGCACTGATCTGCCACATAGCTGCTCAGAACTGATTTATAACAGGGGGCCGAGCTGAATAAAAATTGAGTGCTGGCATGAACACCTTACACTAAGCAGAGCTGACAGTTTATGCATTTATTCAACAAATATTTATTGAGTGCATTCTGTGTGTGAGGCAGTGTGCTTAGAAAGTACCAAAAAATCAGCTGGAGAGAACAATCCTGAATCAATGAAACTAGAGGAGACCTGGAGAGAACAGGTCTGAGATGAACTTTGCTGTATCTGAATTGGCAGAAACAGCTAATACCACAGGATAGCCCCGTGGAGTTCACCATGAAAGCCTCAATCTGAAATTACAGAGAGAAACTCTCTCTCCTATAATAGAGTTACGTTAACAAAAATAAAGTTGAATACTAGGGGTTTATTCTTTTGTGAATTTTTCTCAGGTTGAGAGTATTTATTATTTTGTGACTTTTTCTCAAGTTCATAGTGATCATTTTGTGAATTTTTCTCAAGTGGGAAGTTTATTATTTTGTGAATTTTTCTGAAGTTGGTAGTTTCTCAAGATGATTAATTTCACTTATAATCTATAATGGCCCAGAATCTCTGTCTTAATTCTGTATCTGAGGTCATCTGAGTCATGAGTGATTGTTGCCAAAATGTGAACATCTGGTGATGATGAAGCCTGTGTGCAAAGGTTAAAATAATTAACCCAAAGTATAAATGCCTCTTTCGAAAATATTGCAATATCCCAAGTAGTAAGTGGTGGCAGGTATGTGTCTGAAGTCTAGAGACGATCAGAAATAGTGTGTGAATTTCCAGTCATCTAAGATTACCTAGGGTTAGTTTCGCACAATCATGGGATCACCAAGTGTCGACGATGTGGTATTTTCCTTCTCACCATTGACGTATAATTTCTATTTCTGTTGAGGAATCTCTAGGACCAAAATCAGAAGAATGTTTTGCTATTTGGACCCACTACTCCCTGCCACTCAGAGGCTGACTTAGAATTCTGGCTTCAGCATTTGTTACTGTCAATCCCTCCCACTTTCCCACTTTCTAGAACTCTCTCTGTTCCAGGTTCCAGGTCACTGTCTCTTCCTGTCCTTCCTCCTACCACCCTGATCGTTGCCCCTCCAGCATTTCTGTTGACTCTCTCTCTCTCTCTGCCTGCCCCGTGAATGTCCTTGGCGCATTTCCCTTCTCTCTTTGACAGCTCTCTGCCGCATCTGTAAATCCAACCCTGGCCACTCCCCTGAATTCTCAAAGCGTATTTCTAGCATGACTAGACATCACCTGACCATCTCATGGGCACCTCAAGTTCGGTGTCACAAACCATATTCTATAGAATTCTTCCTCCTCTTCCCCTGTCCCATCTCACCTCATGGCATCTCCACCCAGTCCCCTGAGCTGCCCTTCACTTCTCTCACCACGCACGTTCAGTCAGTCAGCTCACCTCCTAGATGGTTCTCAAGCACGCTCTCCACCCCCACCGAATCTGCCTTGCTTCAGGCTTTCCTTATCTCTGACCTGAATTGCCATCCTGGTGGCCTGTATCCTCCTTGAGTTCACTGGATGAGAGGTGTGACCCTCTCATCCAGTACTGCGTCCCCATAAGAGGGTCATAGTCACTTCCAGCATTCTTGAAGAAGCAGTGGAAAGTTCTGGAGCCAGATCTGCCATGTACTTGCTGCATGTCCCCTGTGTCTCAGTTTTCTCATCTGCAACAGTGGGTTGTCATGCAAATTTAATGAGGATATGTAAGTGCATAAGTAACGCGCCTATAACAGTGCCTGACCTGTGCACAATAAGGCATTAGCTTTATATTTCGTAAATGCACATGACTTGCTGAGAGTTAGTTTTTTAGTTTACTGTTATTTTTTTTTTTACGAATGGAATCATATCAGCCTCCTACTTAAGATGGTTCACTGGCTGCCCATCACTTAACAAGACCAAGTCCCTCCT